ATCTATCTTGATGTATATTCCAGCTTGTTGTCCGAAGGTTAACAAAACAAAATGAAGAATTAGTATTATAGTGTGGAAAGTCTCTGCTTAGGATCTAAACATTAAAAATGAAAAAGTGAGAACATGCAAAGTCAAGCGATGTAAATATACCTCCAAAGATCCTGTTGGGGAGCTGTCTTTATTTCTACTTATACTATGTCAACAGTGCTTTTATTAATTAAAGATTCATAGAAGTGACATTTCCATTTGAGTGTATATGGACCTGCCCTTAAACTAAGGACTGCTTCCTATTTGTTAATGATTGTTTTTCTTGTAATTTTGTTACATTTTTTTATTGCTTACCTTAATAAACATAATTTCCAAGTATTTGGTGATAACACACATTTCTTAAAATTTGACATGGCATCCTACACGTGGCAATTCACCGACCGATTCTTAATTGTTAGAACTCAAAATTTCGCAAAAAGCAAAAATTACATTGGTGAAATGGATGTGGTATATACTGGGTGGTCAAAACAACAACAGTCATAAGTACAAGTGCGAATGGAGGGGTTCCGGATTTCCTCATATACAGGTTGCATCTTATTCAGCAACTGGCGGTGAGAGTATAGGTTTCTCACTTTATTTAATTTCTGGGTACCAAATCTTATGCATTCACAGGAATCTGCAACTAATGGATGGCACACACCCACTGATTTCAGAAACTGTTAAATACATTGTTGTAGGCTGTCAATGAATATAGCCTTGTAGCCGAGTAGTGGCAAGATTGATTGCTCCTCTCTGAAGATTCTATGAATAAATGAACAGAGTATTATCGACAAGCGCTTTACCAAAGTCTGTCTTTGGCACAGTTATCACGGCTTGAAGAACTTTCTAATTTATGTCCATATAATGCAAATAAGTAAACGTAACTTTAAAAGTGCACATACCTGTGAGATAATCATATCATTTTTTTGGAGGAGTCTAATGAGTTCCCTAATCAAACATTTTGTATTAACAATAATAGCATCGCGGATAATAATGTGTCTCTACAAAACTAAAAGAGTAGAGAGAATCCGATTGAGTTAATGTGGTTTTTAACCTAAAAGCTTGTGCGTTTATGAGTGTGGATGATGCTCCATGGTAAATGATGATAAAAACTCTTCTCTCTCGTCGTTCTCTC